TGTGGTGGAGAACATTAGCAGCAACATCTGTGTGGTGGAGAACATTAGCAGCAACATCTGTGTGGTGGAGAACATTAGCAGCAACATCTGTGTGGTGGAGAACATCAGCAGTAACATCTGTGTGGTGGAGAACATTAGCAGCAACATCTGTGTGGTGGAGAACATTAGCAGCAACATCTGTGTGGTGGAGAACATCAGCAGTAACATCTGTGTGGTGGAGAACATTAGCAGCAACATCTGTGTGGTGGAGAACATCAGCAGCAACATCTGTGTGCTGGAGAACATCAGCAGTAACATCTGTGTGGTGGAGAACATCAGCAGTAACATCTGTGTGGTGGAGAACATCAGCAGTAACATCTGTGTGGTGGAGAACATCAGCAGTAACATGTGTGTGATGGAGAACATCAGCAGTAACATCTGTGTGGTGGAGAACATCAGCAGTAACATCTGTGTGGTGGAGAACATACACCATCCTCTTATACACCAAGTACTATGTCAAAGACCACCTGACAGTAAAACTTATTCCGTCTACCCACTCTTCTCTTTATTGCCTAGTTGTTGTCGTCATGTAAGATTTACCATCCCTGAACCCATGCTGATGGAGTCAGAAAGCATCTTCTCTCCAGGTGTGCTACTAGCTTTTTTTCTTATGACCTTTCCATTGCCATCCACAGTACACAAGACACCAGCCTGTAGTTCAGTGTCTCCTGCCTGTCACCCGTCTTGTATTAAAACTACATTAGTCGTCTTGTAACGTTCTGGTAGGTCTCCTGTTTCCAGTTACATTTTATACACCATAGTGGGACGTATTGTGCCACTATGTAGGTTGATGCTCCATCTTTTATTATCCATGGTGGGATGATGTCAGGTCCATCAGGCTCTGACGTATCCAGTTCCAGCAGATGCTCCTTAACCTCTTCTCTGATAATTTAAAATTCTTCCAAAGTTACTTGGTTTACCGCCACCTCCCTCAATTCAGGTACTTCTTGCTCTATTGTGAAGACACCCTGAAGGTCTTCACAATAGAGGTATTGTCGAGTTCTTCCCACCCCTTTGTTCTTCTCTGCGTACCTGTCCTCCCTTGTTTTCAGTTTCATCACCTGTTCTTTCACTGCTGTTTTCCTCCTGCTGTGGCTGTGGAGCAGTTTCGGTTGATCTTGTCTCTAGTTTGCGTCATTTTCATGGTCTTGGCTTTACGTCTCACACAGGCATTTCTGGCCCTCTGGTGTTCTGTTATTTCTGTTCTTTCTCCATGTTCTTCGAGATAATTGTCTTGCTTCCTAACATGCCTAATTGAAACATGGATTCCTCTTTTACATTTTCCTTTTGGGCCGGGATAAACTTACGCACATCCTCCTGGCACTTCTAGATAATGTAGTCCATTATTTCTTGTACACTCTTTTCTCTGAACTGTTTCCCGTGATAATTCTATTAGGAACTAGCAGTACCCGGCCACGCGTTGCTGAGCCACAGCAACCTTTCCTGTCTCCCAGTCCTCCCCACTATTATCTCCCCTCCCCCGTCCCCTCGTCCTCCAAACCAATTCTCACTCCTTCGTCCCTTTTTCCTTCCCATCATCCCCCACTCCAGCATCCACTTTTCCTCCTAACCATTCCCCACTCTACCATCCCCTCGACCTCCTCAGTATCTGAAAACTCCCCCGTCCCCTCGTCCTCCCCACCATTCTCCATTCCCCTCGTCCCCACCATCCCCAGCTCCCCTGTCCCCTCGTCCTCCCACACTATTACCCCCCCCCCCCCTCCGCTGTCCCCTTGTTCTCTCCACCATCCCCCACTCTCGTCCCTCCATTTCCCGCTCCCTCGTCTGATGATCAAGTGATCTGATGTTCCCATCAGAAAATTGGGAACATCAAATGATCTTGGGCAGATTCACAAAGAGGTTACACATACACTTACGAACCTGTACATCTTTTCTCTATCTTTGGCGGCTTTGATTAAACAGTTAATGAGCTCCGAAGCACCAGGAGGCTGTTTATAACAATAACAACTGTTGATTGTCAAGTTTCCATGCTTGTAAACAGTTTAATAAATGTAACCAAAGCCGTCAAAGATTGAGGAACTATGTACACGTTCGTAAGTACTTGCGTAACTGCTTCGTGAATCTGGCCCCAGATGTTCCCGTCACTGAAATGTAAGAAAAACAGTTCAAAAAATGAAATGAAAAATAATTAAAAAAAATAAATAAACTATACTCACGAAATGAACGATATGGTAAACAACACAGTTCAATTCCAACGCAATGTCACACAAAATAATTAAATCAAAATGAAAATAATCGAAATTTATAAAAATTCAATTTATCAATGAAATAGGAAACATTGAAATGGAATCGTAACATATTTAGTATAGCATGTGTTGGTCTAATGTGCAACAGATGGTGCTGTTTTTCAAAACGCATGTTTTTACCTGTCACAGGGGTGGCATCTGTATCGTAAGTGTATAAAAACAAGCGGATATTCGAACAGAACGTTGTATCAAAATTTCAAAGCAATCGGTAAAGAACTTTTGGAGATTCAACAGATGGCGCTGTTTTTCAAAAAAGCATGTTTTTTCCGGTCACATGTGAGGCATGTATATAGTAGGTATATAAAAACACGCGCCTATTCGAATGCAACATTGTGTCAAAACTTCAATGCAATCGATAAAGAGGTTTCGAAGATTTCCCTCACATGAAAATCACAGTTTTTCAAAAAAACATGTTTTTTTACCGTCACAGACGTGACATCTATGTATATAAAAACCTGCTCGGATGCGAATGGAACGTTGTGTGAAAATTTGAAAACAATCGACGAAGAACTTTTGGAGATTTAGCAGTTATGCACAAACGAACATGTCCATTTTTATTTATATAGATTTTCTCATCTCATCATACTTCCCATTTTGGTACCATTGCTTTCTGGTCCCTTCCTTGGGTAGGCTGTTGTTACTTCCATCAGATACTCAAATGTCAGTACGCAGTGGTCACTCGTTCCTATGGGGGCTTCTAATTCGACTTCCCTTATATCAGACTCGTTTGGGGTGAATATCAGAACAAGTGCAGCTGGTTCATCATTTCCTCTCATTCTTGTGGGTCCCTTGACATGTTGGCTTTGAAAGCGTCTGGTTGTCCCGTCCAGTAGTTTAGCACTCCATGTATCTACCTCCACGTGGTTCTCTGTCTACTTTCCCATAGTTGAAGTCTCCATAATTAACACACTGTATCTGGTCTTCCAGCCGTTAGAAACCGCTCTATTATATTAATGTTGTTCCTGTCTGGATCTTCTGTCATTTAGTTTGTTGTTGTTGATAAAGATTCAGCTACTGGGAACACAAAGTTTCATGTAGCATGGACTATGGTGAGCCCGTAGTCAACTTACCTGGCACAGGAGCGGGGCTGTATACTGCTATTATCATTGGTCCCCCATTGTCACTGTGCCCATTATGTAGTCTCTGAAACCTTCACAGCCTGGGAGATCTATTTCTTTCAAACTGCAGTACTGTATCAGCTGCTCCACCTCCTCTCTCTTTCTTTACTTTCTCTTCCCGTACTTACGAAAACACCGCGTTTGTTATGGTGCCTGATAATTTAATTTCCTTATTATTACATCTGGGGTTTCTTTTAGTGATCTTTCCCCAAGTTCACTTGCTTTATTTGCAATCCCATCTACACTTGAGATTACTTTGAAGCTCCTTTTTTCTGTCCATTCTCTCTCACCCTTGATATCCACTCCAGTAGTGTAGTATGTTGTTCTGTGGGCGGGGCTGTTTGGGTGGGGTTGTTACTCTGTGAAGTAGTTAACTTGGGTTAACCAGACAGTGCTCACATTTCATCCTGTCAATACACACCTGTCAGCATATCAGTGCTCACAATCCGACCCGTCAGTGACACCTGTCGACCCGTTAGTAATACCTGTTACATGACCTATCCACCTGGACAACTCCTTGACGTTATCTCCTCGAGGCACAGATTACCAGATAATACATTGGTCTGTATTTTACCATCACAGCGCCCTGTTTTGGTGAGCCTGAGGACGGAACTCTTTGGCAGTGTGTGTGTGTTGTACGTTTGCAATCATTTCTGTTATAGCAGTTATAAGTAGGTATAACTGTATATATATACACAAAAATGAATGGTTGAATATACTGCAACATACACGAGGCATACTGCATGCCTTTGAGTGCAACTGCACACTTACAAGGGCTATTGAACACCTACCGTTACTGATGAGTTCAGTGCCGGCAGCAGCAGCACACGCCTACGGATCACTGTAAGATTACAGGGATTACATCATGCCTTCAGGACTACAGTCTGGGGTAGGGTTTACCTCACCAGGACTACCCCATGACGGCTCACACGGGTCCTGTAGAACTACCGCGCGCCAATCATCAACATTACCCGCAGTACAGACACGGTTACAGCAAAAATTATGATGTCCTTCATTTAATATCCAGAGATTACAGCAATGGTTTGAAATGACTGTTCTTATTGGCTGGTGGAAGAGGGAGAGGTGGGCTAGGGGGGTGGAGAGGTGGGCTAGGGGGGGTGGAGAGGTGGGCTAGGGGGGGGTGGAGAGGTGGGTTAGAGGGGGGGAGAGTGGGCGGTGTTGCGGCGGGCGTGGTAGGGTGTGGGTGTTAGGCAGCTTACAGGGTGGGTGTGAGCGTAAGTTGCTGCTGAAGGGTGGGGGGAGTGGGTGGTGGTGGGCAGGGGGGAGTGGGTGGTGGTGGGCAGGGTGGAGGTAGGCATGGCAGTGGGCGGGTGGGTGTTAGCATGGTGGGAGTGGGCGGGGTAGTGGGCGTGCCAGAGAAAGGGACGGGAAGAAGGGGTACAGAAGCAGAGGGTGTGGCTGACGGAAAGGAGTGAGGTGTGTGTGTGTCACAACGGTGTGGCTGGAGTGGGCGGGGTGGGAGTGGGCGGGGTGGTAGTGGGCGGGGTATGGACGGAGCCAGGCCAATGTTTCTCCTCTACAGCTGTCCGCGCCTGTGATTGGTCGGAGCGCGTGGATGGCGCGGCGCTCTTCAACCATTTCAATTAACCTCCTTGACCGCCAACTGCTCTTTATTTCTATTGACAAAAATGAGAGGTTTGGAGAGCAGGCATCTTGGTGAAGCTGTGATGTGGACCACAGTGCCGGCTGGGCGCTCACCCCACAGCTATACTTGTCTCTATGACACCCCACAGCTATACTTGCCTCTGTAACACACCCCACAGCTACACTTACCTCTATGACACCCCACAGCTATACTTGCCTCTGTAACACACCCCACAGCTATACATGCCTCTATAACACACCCCACAGCTATACTTGCCTCTATAACACACCCCACAGCTATACTTGCCTCTATAACACACCCCACAGCTATACTTGCCTCTATAACACACCCAACAGCTATACTTGCCTCTATAACACACCCCACAGCTATACTTGTCTCTATAACACACCCCACAGCTATACTTGCCTCTGTAACACACCCCCACAGCTATACTTGCCTCTATAACACACCCCACAGCTACACTAGCCTCTATGACACACCCCACAGCTATACTTGTCTCTATAACACACCCCACAGCTATACTTGCCTCTATAACACACCCCACAGCTATACTTGCCTCTATAACACACCCAACAGCTATACTTGCCTCTATAACACACCCCACAGCTACACTAGCCTCTATGACACACCCCACAACTACACTTGTCTCTATAACACACCCCACAGCTATACTTGCCTCTATAACACACCCAACAGCTATACTTGCCTCTATAACACACCCCACAGCTATACTTGTCTCTATGACACCCCACAGCTACACTAGCCTCTATGACACACCCCACAGCTATACTTGTCTCTATAACACACCCCACAGCTATACTTGCCTCTATAACACACCCCACAGCTATACTTGCCTCTATAACACACCCCACAGCTATACTTGCCTCTATAACACACCCAACAGCTATACTTGCCTCTATGACACACCCCACAGCTACACTAGCCTCTATGACACATCCCACAGCTATACTTGCCTCTATGACACACCCCACAGCTACACTAGCCTCTATGACACACCCCACAACTACTCTTGTCTCTATGACACACCCCACAGCTACACTAGCCTCTATGACACACCCCACAGCTACACTAGCCTCTATGACACACCCCACAGCTACACTAGCCTCTATGACACACCCCACAGCTACACTAGCCTCTATGACACACCCCACAGCTACACTAGCCTCTATGACACACCCCATAGCTACACTTGCCTCTATGACACACCCCACAGCTACACTAGCCTCTATGACACACCCCACAGCTACACTTGCCTCTATGACACACCCCATAGCTACACTTGCCTCTATGACACACCCCATAGCTACACTAGCCTCTATGACACACCCCACAGCTACACTAGCCTCTATGACACACCCCACAGCTACACTTGCCTCTATGACACATCCCACAGCTACACTTGACTCTATGACACACCCCATAGCTACACTAGCCTCTATGACACACCCCACAGCTACACTAACCTCTATGACACACCCCACAGCTACACTTGTCTCTATGACACACCCCACAGCTACACTAGCCTCTATGACACACCCCACAACTACACTTGTCTCTATGACACACCCCATAGCTACACTAGCCTCTATGACACACCCCACAACTACACCTGTCTCTATGACACACCCCACAGCTACACTAGCCTCTATGACACACCCCACAGCTACACTAGCCTCTATGACACACCCCACAACTACACTTGTCTCTATGACACACCCCATAGCTACACTAGCCTCTATGACACACCGCACAGCTACACTAGCCTCTATGACACACCCCATAGCTACACTTGCCTCTATGACACACCCCACAGCTACACTAGCCTCTATGACACACCCCACAACTACACTTGTCTCTATGACACACCCCATAGCTACACTAGCCTCTATGACACACCCCACAGCTACACTAGCCTCTATGACACACCCCACAGCTACACTTGTCTCTATGACACACCCCACAGCTACACTAGCCTCTATGACACACCCCACAGCTATACTTGTCTCTATAACACACCCCACAGCTATACTTGCCTCTATAACACACCCCACAGCTATACTTGCCTCTATAACACACCCCACAGCTATACTTGCCTCTATAACACACCCAACAGCTATACTTGCCTCTATGACACACCCCACAGCTACACTAGCCTCTATGACACATCCCACAGCTATACTTGCCTCTATGACACACCCCACAGCTACACTAGCCTCTATGACACACCCCACAACTACACTTGTCTCTATGACACACCCCACAGCTACACTAGCCTCTATGACACACTCCACAGCTACACTAGCCTCTATGACACACCCCACAGCTACACTAGCCTCTATGACACACCCCACAGCTACACTAGCCTCTATGACACACCCCACAGCTACACTAGCCTCTATGACACACCCCATAGCTACACTTGCCTCTATGACACACCCCACAGCTACACTAGCCTCTATGACACACCCCACAGCTACACTTGCCTCTATGACACACCCCATAGCTACACTTGCCTCTATGACACACCCCATAGCTACACTAGCCTCTATGACACACCCCACAGCTACACTAGCCTCTATGACACCCCACAGCTACACTTGCCTCTATGACACAACCCACAGCTACACTTGACTCTATGACACACCCCATAGCTACACTAGCCTCTATGACACACCCCACAGCTACACTAACCTCTATGACACACCCCACAGCTACACTTGTCTCTATGACACACCCCACAGCTACACTAGCCTCTATGACACCCCACAACTACACTTGTCTCTATGACACACCCCATAGCTACACTAGCCTCTATGACACACCCACAACTACACCTGTCTCTATGACACACCCCACAGCTACACTAGCCTCTATGACAAACCCCACAGCTACACTAGCCTCTATGACACACCCCACAACTACACTTGTCTCTATGACACACCCCATAGCTACACTAGCCTCTATGACACACCCCACAGCTACACTAGCCTCTATGACACACCCCATAGCTACACTTGCCTCTATGACACACCCCACAGCTACACTAGCCTCTATGACACACCCCACAACTACACTTGTCTCTATGACACACCCCATAGCTACACTAGCCTCTATGACACACCCCACAGCTACACTAGCCTCTATGACACACCCCACAGCTACACTTGTCTCTATGACACACCCCACAGCTACACTAGCCTCTATGACACACCCCACAACTACACTTGTCTCTATGACACACCCCATAGCTACACTAGCCTCTATGACACACCCCACAACTACACTTGTCTCTATGACACACCCCACAGCTACACTAGCCTCAATGACACACCCCACAGCTACACTAGCCTCTATGACACACCCCACAGCTACACTTGTCTCTATGACACACCCCATAGCTACACTAGCCTCTATGACACACCCCACAGCTACACTAGCCTCTATGACACACCCCACAGCTACACTAGCCTCTATGACACACCCCACAGCTACAATAGCCTCTATGACACACCCCACAGCTACACTTGTCTCTATGACACACCCCACAGCTACACTAGCCTCTATGACACACCCCACAGCTACACTTGTCTCTATGACACACCCCACAGCTACACTAGCCTCTATGACACACCCCACAACTACACTTGTCTCTATGACACACCCCATAGCTACACTAGCCTCTATGACACACCCCACAGCTACACTTGTCTCTATGACACACCCCACAGCTACACTTGTCTCTATGACACACCCCACAGCTACACTTGTCTCTATGACACACCCCACAACTACACTTGTCTCTATGACACACCCCACAGCTACACTAGCCTCTATGACACACCCCACAGCTACACTAGCCTCTATGACACACCCCACAGCTACACTTGTCTCTATGACACACCCCACAGCTACACTTGCCTCTATAACACACCCCACAACTACACTTGTCTCTATGACACACCCCACAACTACACTTGTCTCTATGACTACCCTAGTCATCGGTGCTCAGGCCATAAGCTTGAGTACCCATACCACAGGGTCATGGTATGACCCTGTGGTATGGTATGAGTCCATGGTATGACCCTGTGGTATGGTATGAGTCCATGGTATGACCCTATAGTATGGTATGAGTCCATGGTATGACCCTATGGTATGGTATGAGTCCATGGTATGACCCTGTGGTATGGTATGAGTCCATGGTATGACCCTATGGTATGGTATGAGTCCATGGTATGACCCTATGGTATGGTATGAGTCCATGGTATGACCCTATGGTATGGTATGAGTCCATGGTATGACGCAGAGTATGAGTCATGTTTATATCCCAGTGTATACCAGATGTGACAACTTTGATGATAAATAATACAAATGATACCATTTATGTATGCCTATTGTTAAGTAACCTATACATTGTTATACATTTTGTGTATATATTGTCAGTATTAAATATTTCAAGGTGTTGTATTGGGTGTATGAGCTGACCAGCGACTGTGTGTATTCACCTTGTTGTATTCACCTAGTTGTGCTTGCGGGGGTTGAGCTCTGCTCTTTCGGTCCGCCTCTCAACTGTCAATCAACTGTTACTAACTTCTAACTATTTTTTTCCCACACACACACACACACACATCCAGGAAGCAGCCCGTAACAGCTAACTCCCAGGTACCTATTTACTGCTAGGTAACAGGAGCATCAGGGTGAAAGAAACTCTGCCCATTGTTTCTCGCCGGCGCCGGGAATCGAACCCGGGCCACAGGATTATGTGTCAAGCGTGCTATCCACACACACACACAATATTCTCGCGTGTGTGCGAGTCTTGATTTGCAAATATTGATTGAATTATTAATATGTGTTATTACTGTTATGTATGAATAACATCTATTTTCAAGTACGGTGTGTTCTTCACACAGATAAATTTAAGCTGTTCTCTAGAGTACCCCGAGTGGGTATAATTGATGTTGTTCAGTTGGCTAGTTGACCTGTGGGGGGTGGAGGGTGCTGCTGCGGGCACTGGCGTGAGGCATATGGTAAAGTTAGAGTATTGAGCTCTGACCAGCGAGTGTAACATTTCAGATTTACATGAAGGGTAAGACAGCGATTTATTGTGGATCTGTGTTATCAGGTTATCAGTGAATATTTGTTTTTGACTTGTAAAATCTCGTAGTTTTAGTGACGTTATATATTTTGTCTTTGCGGGGACTTTATTTGTTCAAGACGTTTGGGAATTTAACTCTTGCAGTGAGAGTTGACTTTGCCAGTCCGGAGGGACTTAGTTTTTACCAGAGAGGGACTCTGGTATGGTAAACAACACAGCTCAATTCCTACGCAATGTTACACAAAATAATTAAATCAAAATCTATGAACATTCAATTTATCAATAAAATTGGAAACATTGAAATGGAATCATAACATATTTAGTATAGCAGTTGTGTAACATATTTAGTATTTAGTTGCTCCTATATACAACAGATGGCATTGTTTTTCAAAAAAGCATGTTTTTACCTGTCACAGGTGTGGCATCTATACTTATACTCACGAAATGAACGGTATGGTAAACAACACAGCTCAATTACAATGCAATGTCACACAAAATAATTAAAATGAAAATAAATCAAAATCTTTGAAAATTAAATTTGTCAATGCAATCAGAAACATAGAAATGGAATCGTAACATATTTAGTATAGCATGTGTTGTGTTTTCGTGGAACAGATGGCGTTGTTTCTTAAAAAAGGAATGTTTTTACCTGTCACAGGTGTGGTATCAATATAGTACGTATATAAAAACACGCACCTATTCGAATGCAACGTTGAGTCAAAATTTCAAAGCAATCGGTAAAGAGGTTTCGAAGTTTTTTCTCACATGAAAAACACACGAAAACACAGTTTTTTTTTTTTAAAACATGTTTTTTTTTTTTACCGACACAGACGAGACATCTATATAGTAGGTATATAAAAACCCGCTCGGATGCGAATGGAACGTTGTGTGAAAATTTCAAAGCAATCGGTGAAGAACTTTCGGAGATTAGCGATTTTGAACAAACGAACATTTCCATTTTTATTTATATAGAAGATTTATGCACTTTCACTACGACTCATTTTAACATTTGTGTTGAAAAATACAATAACCAATATAACCCAATAACCTGTAAATTACAACTGTTGTAAATAAAACACTCAACCAGTATCAACGAAATATATAACTCATGAATATGAATTATGGAATATTCATCAGTTATATTCATCATTTACTGAAAAACATTTAAACATTGTTATTAAGCTGAATGTGGGACAATTGTAATTAATATAATGTTGTTATACAGAGTTATGAGTCACGTGAGAACGATGGTGTCACATGAGAACGACGGTGTCACATGAGAACGACGGTGTCACATGAGAACGACGGTGTCACATGAGAACGACGGTGTCACATGAGAACGACGGTGTCACATGAGAACGACGGTGTCACGTGAGAACGACGGTGTCACGTGAGAACGACGGTGTCACATGAGAACGATGGTACCATATCAAACGAGGAATAACGGTACAGTGACATATGTGAACAACGGTACTACGATATACCATAACAAGAGAACAGTACACAGCTCTCATTTTGTACACATTGTACCTATACACAATGGGTAAATTCCCCCCTTCCAGGCTCTAACAAGGGCCAGGTCACTTGGGGTCAAGGGTGAGGTCACGCTCCAGGTTGTCAGACACGAGGCTGTCATGCTAATCCGCGAGGATTACCGCCTCTACACCATAACGAGCCCCCAGGAGCTCTAGAGGCTTAAGGAGGCCCCAGGAGCTCTAGAGGCTTAAGGAGCTCCAGGAGCTCTAGAGGCTTAAGGAGGCCCCAGGAGCTCTAGAGGCTTAAGGAGGCCCAGGAGCTCTAGAGGTTTAAGGAGACCCAGGAGCTCTAGAGGCTTAAGGAGGCCCAGGAGCTCTAGAGGCTTAAGGAGCCCCCAGGAGCTCTAGCGGCTTAAGGAGCCCCCAGGAGCTCTAGAGGCTTAAGGAGCCCCAGGAGCTCCAGAGGATTAAGGAGGCCCAGGAGCTCTAGAGGTTTAAGGAGCCCCAGGAGCTCTAGAGGCTTAAGGAGGCCCCAGGAGCTCTAGCGGCTTAAGGAGCCCCCAGGAGCTCTAGAGGCTTAAGGAGCCCCAGGAGCTCCAGAGGATTAAGGAGGCCCAGGAGCTCTAGAGGCTTAAGGAGGCTCCAGGAGCTCTAGAGGCTTAAGGAGGCTCCAGGAGCTCTAGAGGCTTAAGGAGCCCCAGGAGCTCTAGAGGTTTAAGGAGGCCCAGGAGCTCTAGAGGCTTAAGGAGGCCCCAGGAGCTCTAGAGGCTTAAGGAGCTCCAGGAGCTCTAGAGGCTTAAGGAGCTCTAGAGCCTTAAGGAGCTCTAGAGCCTTAAGGAGGCCCCAGGAGCGCTAGAGGCTTAAGGAGCCCCAGGAGCGCTAGAGGCTTAAGGAGCCCCAGGAGCGCTAGAGGCTTAAGGAGGCTCCAGGAATTCTAGAGGTTTAAGGAGCCCCAGGAGCTCTAGAGGCTTAAGGGAGGCTCCAGGAGCTCTAGAGCCTTAAGGAGGCCCCAGGAGCGCTAGAGGTTTAAGGAGGCTCCAGGAGCTCTAGAGGCTTAAGGAGGCCCCAGGAGCTCTAGAGGTTTAAGAAGGCCCCAGGAGCTCTAGAGGCTTAAGGAGGCCCAGGAGCTCTAGAGGCTTAAGGAGGCCCAGGAGCTCTAGAGGTTTAAGAAGGCCCAAGGAGCTCTAGAGGCTTAAGGAGGCCCAGGAGCTCTAGAGGTTTAAGGAGGCCCAGGAGCTCCAGAGGTTTAAGGAGGCCCAGGAGCTCTAGAGGTTTAAGAAGGCCCCAGGAGCTCTAGAGGCTTAAGGAGGCCTCTAGAGGTTTAAGGAGGCCCAGGAGCTCCAGAGGTTTAAGGAGGCCCAGGAGCTCTAGAGGTTTAAGAAGGCCCCAGGAGCTCTAGAGGCTTAAGGAGCCCCAGGAGCTCTAGAGGCTTAAGGAGGCCCAGGAGCTCTAGAGGCTCTAGAGCATCCAAGAGCCTCAAGGTCACGTGGAACTCAGTGTGAAGAAACTACGGCTCTCTAGGGGGCCTGACAGCTGAGAGGACAGCGCTTCAGATTCGTAGTCCTGAGGTTCCGGTTTCGATTCCCGGTGGAGGTGGAACAAATGGGCAGAGTTGCTTTCACCCTGATGCACCTGTTCACCTAGCAGTAAATAGGTACCTGGGAGTTAGACAGCTGTTACGGGGCTGCTTCCTGGGTGTGTGTAACAAAAAGGCCTGTTCGAGGACCGGGCCGCGGCGACGCTAAGCCCCGAAATCCTCTCAAGGTAACCTCAAGATCATTTCTACCCAGCATCTTTTTTTTTAAAAGGATTTTTAAAAAATCCTTTTTTATTATTTTTTTTAAATTGATTAATAAAGTAATATTTTCAAAGTGTCTCTCCTGTGTGTATTAAGTACACCTGATTACCGTTGTCTTGGCCCTTGGTGACCGGGTGCCCTTAATTGCCTGGTTAGCCCACCACCCTTTAGTCCCCCTATTAAGGGGTGTCAATACTAGTGTACAGCACTGCTCCCATTATTCTGTATAGTACACCTGAGTGGTTTCAGGATTCTCTCTCTCTCTCCCTCCAGTTGTCTACGCAGTGATCAGATCACCTTGAGTGATTATATTATACATATGACATATTACTGCCAGTATACTACCAATATTACAATAGCGGTTTAACAATTATAAAATTGCTACAAAATGAGAACGCCAGTAACGTGTCAAATGAGAACGCCAGTAACGTTTCAAATTAGAACGCCAGTAACGTGTCAGATGAGAACGCCAGTAACGTGTTAGATGAGAACGCCAGTAACGTGTCAGATGAGAACGCCAGTAACGTGTCAGATGAGAACGCCAGTAACGTGTCAGATGAGAACGCCAGTAACGTGTCAGATGAGAACGCCAGTAACGTGTCAGATGAGAACGCCAGTAACGTGTCAGATGAGAACGCCAGTAACGTGTCGCCAGTAACGTGTCAGATGAGAACGCCAGTAACGTGTCAGATGAGAACGCCAGTAACGTGTCGCCAGATGAGAACGCCAGTAACGTGTCAGATGAGAACGCCAGTAACGTGTCAGATGAGAACGCCAGTAACGTGTCAGATGAGAACGCCAGTAACGTGTCAGATGAGAACGCCAGTAACGTGTCAGATGAGAACGCCAGTAACGTGTCAGATGAGAACGCCAGTAACGTGTCAGATGAGAACGCCAGTAACGTGTCAGATGAGAACGCCAGTAACGTGTCAGATGAGAACGCCAGTAACGTGTTAGATGAGAACGCCAGTAACGTGTCAGATGAGAACGCCAGTAACGTGTCAGATGAGAACGCCAGTAACGTGTCAGATGAGAACGCCAGTAACGTGTTAGATGAGAACGCCAGTAACGTGTCAGATGAGAACGCCAGTAACGTGTTAGATGAGAACGCCAGTAACGTGTCAGATGAGAACGCCAGTAACGTGTTAGATGAGAACGCCAGTAACGTGTCAGATGAGAACGCCAGTAACGTGTCAGATGAGAACGCCAGTAACGTGTCAGATGAGAACGCCAGTAACGTGTCAGATGAGAACGCCAGTAACGTGTCAGAGAACGCCAGTAACGTGTCAGAGAACGCCAGTAACGTGTCAGATGAGAACGCCAGTAACGTGTCAGATGAGAACGCCAGTAACGTGTCAGATGAGAACGCCAGTAACGTGTCAGATGAGAACGCCAGTAACGTGTCAGATGAGAACGCCAGTAACGTGTCAGATGAGAACGCCAGTAACGTGTCAGATGAGAACGCCAGTAACGTGTCAGATGAGAACGCCAGTAACGTGTCAGATGAGAACGCCAGTAACGTGTCAGATGAGAACGCCAGTAACGTGTCAGATGAGAACGCCAGTAACGTGTCAGATGAGAACGCCAGTAACGTGTCAGATGAGAACGCCAGTAACGTGTCAGATGAGAACGCCAGTAACGTGTCAGATGAGAACGCCAGTAACGCCAGTAACGTGTCAGATGAGAACGCCAGTAACGTGTCAGATGAGAACGCCAGTAACGTGTCAGATGAGAACGCCAGTAACGTGTCAGATGAGAACGCCAGTAACGTGTCAGATGAGAACGCCAGTAACGTGTCAGATGAGAACGCCAGTAACGTGTCAGATGAGAACGCCAGTAACGTGTCAGATGAGAACGCCAGTAACGTGTCAGATGAGAACGCCAGTAACGTGTCAGATGAGAACGCCAGTAACGTGTCAGATGAGAACGCCAGTAACGTGTCAGATGAGAACGCCAGTAACGTGTCAGATGAGAACGCCAGTAACGTGTCAGATGAGAACGCCAGTAACGTGTCAGATGAGAACGCCAGTAACGTGTCAGATGAGAACGCCAGTAACGTGTCAGATGAGAACGCCAGTAACGTGTCAGATGAGAACGCCAGTAACGTGTCAGATGAGAACGCCAGTAACGTGTCAGATGAGAACGCCAGTAACGTGTCAGATGAGAACGCCAGTAACGTGTCAGATGAGAACGCCAGTAACGTGTCAGATGAGAACGCCAGTAACGTGTCAGATGAGAACGCCAGTAACGTGTCAGATGAGAACGCCAGTAACGTGTCAGATGAGAACGCCAGTAACGTGTCAGATGAGAACGCCAGTAACGTGTCAGATGAGAACGCCAGTAACGTGTCAGATGAGAACGCCAGTAACGTGTTAGATGAGAACGCCAGTAACGTGTCAGATGAGAACGCCAGTAACGTGTCAGATGAGAACGCCAGTAACGTGTCAGATGAGAACGCCAGTAACGTGTCAGATGAGAACGCCAGTAACGTGTCAGATGAGAACGCCAGTAACGTGTCAGATGAGAACGCCAGTAACGTGTCAGATGAGAACGCCAGTAACGTGTCAGATGAGAACGCCAGTAACGTGTCAGATGAGAACGCCAGTAACGTGTCAGGTGAGAACGCCAGTAACGTGTCAGGTGAGAACGCCAGTAACGTGTTAGATGAGAACGCCAGTAACGTGTCAGATGAGAACGCCAGTAACGTGTCAGATGAGAACGCCAGTAACGTGTCAGATGAGAACGCCAGTAACGTGTCAGATGAGAACGCCAGTAACGTGTTAGATGAGAACGCCAGTAACGTGTCAGATGAGAACGCCAGTAACGTGTTAGATGAGAACGCCAGTAACGTGTCAGATGAGAACGCCAGTAACGTGTCAGATGAGAACGCCAGTAACGTGTCAGATGAGAACGCCAGTAACGTGTTAGATGAGAACGCCAGTAACGTGTCAGATGAGAACGCCAGTAACGTGTCAGATGAGAACGAGGGAACACTTTCGGAAACCTAATTACCAGAGTCACTTGCTGGCGTAGTTCACAGGTTTGCTTAATTTGTGTGTGTGATCCATTAAGCTTTGATGTCAATAGTCACAAATTTAGTCCAATACCTACTGCGTATAAACACATAAAAATGTAAAAATAAACCCATCCGTAACTCAGTGGTGTGAGTGTGTGTACCCAACACTACTCTGTGAATGCTGGGGGCCAGATTCATGAAAGCACTTACGCAAGCACTTACGAACGAGTACATCTTTCCTCAATCTTTGACGGCTTTGGTTACATTTATTAAACAGTCTACAACCATGAAAACTGGCCAATCAACTGTTGTTATTGTTATAAACAGCCTCCTGGTGCTTCGGAGCTCATTAACTGTTTAATAATTGGAAACAAAGCCGCCAAAGATTGAGAAAAGATGTACAGGTTCGTAAGTGTTTGCCTAAGTGCTTTCGTGAATCTGGCCCTTAATAAAAGTGTGTGATGTGAGAAGCTGGCACAAAAGGTACGCTTTTGTGTACCTAAACGTGTTGGACAGATACAATGGTTGATCTCTAACGGTAAATAATGATTTACGATTAACGAGGGAACCATCGTAGTTCCTGTCAAATGACGATTGAGGATCTAAGCAGTAACAACATTGTTCAATTAACGAGGATGTTAAAATAACATATATGTTGAATTTACAATTTATTGTGACCGACAATTAGGTCCAATGTGAATCATGGCGTGTGATCAACTAACAACTTTAGAGTGAACCAGTGATATCCAATAGCAAAGTGAAGTGTAATTTAATAAATCAATTAAGGAAATATATGTTTAAAAAAAAAAAGAATTCGCCAATATTGAAATATGCTCAAAAATTCTCAAATAGTGGCACAGCGGCCAGAAATATTTTAATGTCAAGAATTATCACAGCAATGTGAACAAAACTGAATATTAGTTGATATATTAGGAGTAAAATAATATAATATATAATAATTTTATATTTTTTTGTTCTGCGAGAATTTGAAGCTCGCAAACATAATGTCATAATATCAATGAAAGTTGTACAACTTTTTTTTAGCTAGTCAGAATAAATTTACGATACCAGAACAGTGATTTTCACTGAATAAATATAGAACAATATATTCTGCTGAGAGATTATTTATAACGCGGCTGCCTATAAAAAATAAATGCTTTAATCAGTCGTTGACGTAAATGAAAGTTTTGTTAGACCAGTTTGTTAGTGAACGGTTAATGTTTGTAATACATGTTTTGAACTCTTGTTAACGTTGAGCAATTACTGGTTAAGGGTGGGTGGTGAGTCCTCCCACCCTGAGGGACAGACCTCCCACCCTGAGGGACAGACCTCCCACCCTGAGGGGGAGAGTGAGATATCTGTCCTCCCACAGACAGAGTGAGAGATCTGTCCTCCCACAGACAGAGTGAGAGATCTGTCCTCCCACAGAGTGAGAGATCTGTCCTCCCACAGACAGAGTGAGAGATCTGTCCTCCCACAGAGTGAGAGATCTGTCCTCCCACAGACAGGGCTAGAGATCTGTCCTCCCATAGACAGGGTGAGAGCTCTGTCCTCCCACAGACAGGGCTAGAGATCTGTCCTCCCACAGACAGCACAGCGGGTCATCAAGCACCCAGCCACAGGTGATTACAGAACATTTACAATAGTAACCAACATACTAACATTCTCTAGGTGTACTGTGCGGCGCACTGCTTGCTCGAGGCCCGTAATAAGAGAGAGCCGGTGACTCAGGGAGCTCAATGGACGGGTTAGCGAGGCTGGCTTATACGTCCAAGCGTCATAACACGCACATTGTGACGCTCGCGTGTGATCACCTGTCATTTATCCGCCTGTCCAGTGTGGCTGGTAATTACCTACGGTCACACAATCGTCACAAAGCGCAATACATACACACCCAAGGGCCGCAGAATATACGATAATCATACATTCAACACGGACAATACCTGCTGGATTAAATCTTGTTATTGACACTGAAAACGGCCTGAAAAACGCGAGCAGAGGCACTCTTCATTCTGACGTTACTGTGATATGGCGTGTTGGAGAGACATACAAGAGCTTGGTGGGCAGGTTAGACCCTGCCTGCCTGCCTGTGGTCCTCGCCTACAGCCCGGGGGTCCCATCATGCTGGCTCCTCCACCTGGAGAGTATTAAAGGTGTTGAGACTCGCCACACATGACCGAAACTAATTTTGCTTGAGAGTTTGATGTGTTTATATAAACGGAGTACGTGAGCCGCTGTCAGCGAAGTGCAGAAACGTCACCATGATATGACGGGGTTCGGACACACACAGCGAGTAACTGTGAGGGGGGGGGGGGAGACATCAGGGTGGCGAGATGTCATCAGCGGAGTCCCACAGGGCTCTATACTTGGACCCATCCTGTTTCAAATATATGTAAACGACCTTCCAGAGGGTATGGACTCATTCCTCTCGATCTTTGCTAATATTGCAAAATTTTGTAAAAATTTTCAATTTTATCCCGAGGGGCGAGTTTATTGGGCAGCGCTACACATCCTGTGAGTGGACACACCGCCATAGTGACAGTATTGGGCAGCGCCACTCATCCTGTGAGTGGACACACCGCCATAGTGACAGTATTGGGCAGCGCCACTCATCCTGTGAGTAGATACACCGCCATAGTGACAGTATTGGGCAGCGCTACACATCCTGTGAGTAGATACACCGCCATAGTGACAGTATTGGGCAGCGCCACACATCCTGTGAGTGGACACACCGCCATAGTGACAGTATTGGGCAGCACCACTCATCCTGTGAGTGGACACACCGCCATAGTGACAGTATTGGGCAGCGCCACTCATCCTGTGAGTGGACACACCGCCATAGTGACAGTATTGGGCAGCGCCACTCATCCTGTGAGTGGACACACCGCCATAGTGACAGTATTGGGCAGCGCCACTCATCCTGTGAGTGGACACACCGCCATAGTGACAGTATTGGGCAGCGCCACTCATCCTGTGAGTGGACACACCGCCATAGTGACAGTATTGGGCAGCGCCACTCATCCTGTGAGTGGACACACCGCCATAGTGACAGTATTGGGCAGCGCCACTCATCCTGTGAGTGGACACACCGCCATAGTGACAGTATTGGGCAGCGCCACTCATCCTGTGAGTGGACACACCGCCATAGTGACAGTATTGGGCAGCGCCACTCATCCTGTGAGTGGACACACCGCCATAGTGACAGTATTGGGCAGCGCCACTCATCCTGTGAGTAGACACACCGCCATAGTGACAGTATTGGGCAGCGCCACTCATCCTGTGAGTGGACACACCGCCATAGCAGCATGTACAACACTCCCCAATAGGAAGAAACCCCACTGGGTTGTTCATCCTGTCACTTGTACCCAGACACAGCTGGGACTTGCTTAACTGTCTCAAGTGAACAGTTCCTCAAACTAGAAGATTAACATCTGTCAACCCTTAAAATCTTACGTTATCTCGCGGGTGCAAAATGGGGGATTCTTTTAAGAACAGTATCAATATTTGACAAATAGTGTTTTCCTAACTCAAACAATGTGGGGTTTATTATTCTACACATACTTCTAATGTCCCAGAAGTGTTCACATTCACGTAGATAGTGATCAAGGCGGTGTCCGTCACTCTCACCACAGATTCTGCAACTTCGCTGATCAACTGTTGTTTCCATTCTGAATCTTCCATGGTATTTGTATCCAAGACGGATTCTCGCTATTACTGATTGTCTCCCGCGTCCTCCTCCTCTTCGTCCATAGTGATTGGGATTGGCAGCTGCAATCATGTTGTACCGTCGTACAGATTCACTGGTTTGTGCTTCTATCCTCCTTTCCTCAATTACCGTGTCACGGTGATGTTGCCTGACAATACCTCTAATTTGTAGAAGAAAAAATTATGAGAAGAATCAAAACAGATGAAGATAGACAGAGACTACAGAACGACCTGGACAAACTGGAGGAATGGTCTAGAAAATGGCTACCAAAGTTTAACTTAGGAAAGTGTAAAGTAATGAAATTAGGCGAAGGGAGCAGGAGGCTGAACACAAGGTACCATCTCGGAGGTGATATCCTGCAAGAGTGAAATAGAGAGATCTAGGGGTTGATATCACACCGAACCTGTCCCCAGAGGTCCAAATCAAGAGGATATCATCAGCGGCATATGCTAGATTAGTCAACATAAGAACTGCCTTTAGAAACTTGTGTAAGGAATCGTTCAAGACCTTGTATATCACTATATCAGACCAAACATGGGGTATGCAGCTCCAGCCTGGAGTCCATACCTTGCTAAAAGTTAGAGAAGATTTAGAGTTATGCCACGCGACTAGACCCAGAACTGAGAGGTATGCGCTACAATGAAAAGCTAATGGAGCTAAACATCACGTTCCTGGAAGACAGAAGAGTAAGGCGAGCCAAGATCACCAACTACAAAAAATTCCCAGAGGAAATGACAGGGTGAACAAAGACACTATTTAGCACGGGTGGAACAAGAACAAGGGGACATAGGTGAAAACTTAGTACCCAAATAAGCCACAGAGACATTAAACAAATTTCAGTGTCAGAGTAGTTAACAGGAGGAATGCATTAGGCAGTGATGTGGTGGAGGCTGACTCCATACACAGTTTCAAATGTAGATATGATAGAGCCCAGTAGGCTCAGGAATGGACTCTGAGTCCTCAAAGCAGCCCTAAGTTACTTTACAGTTCTCCCAGGGCAGGTAATGACACAATTCTCCCAGGGCAGGTAATGTCACAATTCTCCCAGGGCAGGTAATGACACGGTTCTCCCAGGGCAGGTAATGTCACAATTCTCCCAGGGCAGGTAATGTCACAATTCTCCCAGGGCAGGTAATGTCACAATTCTCCCAGGGCAGGTAATGTCACAGTTCTCCCAGGGCAGGTAATGTCACAATTCTCCCAGGGCAGGTAATGTCACAATTCTCCCAGGGCAGGTAATGTCACAATTCTCCCAGGGCAGGTAATGACACGGTTCTCCCAGGGCA